ATTTTGGTGGGAAAATTGAAGATTTTGGTGGAAAAAAATGAAGAATTTGAAGGAAAAAAAGGAATTTGTGGGGTTTTTTTAAAAAAAACCAAGAGGTTTGAAGAGGTTTTTTTTGAGGTAGAAGAACTTTGGTGGCCACATTGGCCACCTGGAGAAGGTGGAGTGGGTGGTGGGCACCTATCTGAGGTGGATCTTCTGATGCCTGATGAGTTTGGAGTTGACGATGAAGCTCTTCCCACAATCTCCACATTTATAAGGTCTCTCCCCGGTGTGGATCCGTTGATGGGTGACCAGGGTTGAACTTTGCTTGAAGGTCTTCTCACAATGGTCACATCTATAGGGTCTTTCTCCAGTGTGGACACGTCGGTGGGCGATCAAGTTGGAGCTTTGTTTGAAGGTCTTCTCACAACGGTCACACTTGTAGGGTCTCTCCCCGGTGTGGACACGTTGGTGGGTGAGATAAACCGATCGGTGTTTGAAGTTCTTCCCACAATCAAGACAAGAATAAGGTTTCTCCTCAAGGTGGAGACATCGGTGGAACCTCTTGAAGCTCTTCTGGCAGCTGTCACATTGGTTAGGTGTTTTCTTGAGGTGGGTACGTTGATGTTTGAGGAGACTCGAAGTTCTCAAGAACCTCTTCCCACAATCATCACATTGATAAGGTCGTTCATCGGTGTGGATTCGTTGATGGACAATAAGTTCTGAGCTCCACGTGAAGCTCTTCCCACAATCATCACATCTAAAAGGTCTTTCCCCGCTATGGAGACGTTGATGTTTCATCAAAGAGTAGCTATAGGTGAAGTTCTTCCCACAATCACCACATCGGTAAGGTTTCTCCTCAGTATGGACATGTTGATGTTTCATGAGGGATGAAGAATGTTTGAAGGTCTTCTGACACTCCCCACATCGATAAGGTCGCTCACCGGTGTGAGAACGTTGATGGATGATCAAATCCGATCTCCACATGAAGTTCTTCCCACAAGTTTGACATTCCAACATCTTCTTCTTGGTGCGGAAACATTTGTGATGGTTCAAATTAGAACTTCTCAAGTAGGTCTTCCCACAATTGTCACACCTGTAGAGTTTCTCCCCGGTGTGAAGACGTTGGTGATGGTTCAAGTTGGAGATTTGGATGAAGCTTTTCCCACAATCATCACATTTATATGGTTTCTCCAAGAGGTGGACGTGACGATGACGGACCACGGCTGAGCTGTGACTAAAACTCTTCCCACAAACATCACATTGATAAGGTCTTTCTCCAGTATGAGAATGTTGATGGTTGATGAGGTACCAACTCAACCTGAAGGTCTTCCCACACTCATCACATCTGTAGGGTTTCTCCCCGGTGTGGATCCGTTGGTGGAGGAGAAGTTCAGCGTTACACCTGAAGCTGTTCCCGCACTCGAGGCACTTGTAGGGCTTCTGCTTTTGGTGGGTCACCAACCTTGGGTTCCTCACTAAGTTCTCCTCATAGATGTTGGGGTGTTCCTCAACCATTTCTTCTTGCCCTACAACCATGGGGTGCTCCTCAACCATTTGGTGCCCCACAACCATGGGGTTCTCCTCAACCATTTCTTCCTGCCCCACAACTATGGGGTGTTCCTCAGTAGACACGGGGTGCTCCTCAACCA